TTTCCCTCTGCAGATTGCAAGGGTTAGAGAAAGCAATCCCAGACCATTGACTGGATCAATACAGTTTGTAAAGTCCTAGAATTCCATCTTTTATTGGACTGATGAGCTGGATGGGCAACAGACGGAGATGGAGTCTGTACATTTTATTGACACAAAACGGCTGTGTCCAGGCATTCTGTGTGTGGGAAGGAATGGGAGCATGTGAGAGAACTGGTGGTGAGTGAGTGAGTGAGTACGTCAGTGACCTGGTGGTTGTGAGTGAGTACGTCAGTGAGTCAGTGACCTGGTGGTTGGAGTGAGTGTGTCAGTCAGTCAGATTTGGGTGGATGAGTGAGATTTGGGTGTGTGTGTGGTTGGAGGGGTGATTGCTTGGGTTGGTGGTTGGATGGGTGGCTAAACCAGCAACTGATAGACTTGAAATCATATAGGGGTATTGAGGATCTATCGATAACAGGAAGACCCTGAGATGTGAATGAGATAAATGCTTACTTAGCACATCTATAAGGGTGCACACACACTACATCTGATTTTCTATGTGAAGCGCCATGCAATGTGTGGCGTTTTTCCGCTCACACTACATGCGTTTCCTATTAAGCGATTTTGCTATAGTAAACTTGTAAATACTGCTTATATATAAATGTTCCTTCATATTGATCAACAAATATTATTTACATCTGTATATTTGGCCAAGATGTTAAAAAGATAAAACGTATATATTCTTTTCTAAAAATAAAAAAGGAAAACATTTTTGTAATTGTATTGTTGTGCTTGGCCATGTTATAAAGAGAGAATAGAAGCTGCACCGTGTCACTGAAAAACAATCACACTAACGTCTGTGAAGCATATATCACTGGAAAATACACCTAATTGTAGCAAAATAATGATGTCACAAATGGAATCCCATGTGATTTCAAATGCGATGTGATGCGATGATAAAAATGTGCAGCACCTATTTTCATTGCATCAGATCGCATCGTACTGACGCATCAGTTGTAGTGTATGTGGTCATAGTAAAATACACTGTGTCGCGTTTTTTAATGCATCGCATGACGATCGCATAGAAAATCGAACGTGAGTGTGTGCACCCTTAGTATAAAATTGCCACAACTAAACCCGCATTGAGCGTGTCAAACCAAATTGTATCATTATGCTTCAGTTATAAGGAGCAAAGTTCCGGTAATTGGCTATTCATCACTACAGCTTTGTTCAACTAGCCGATGTGGCCACCAGTAACAGTCGAGGAATGCGATGACACATTCACGGTGTAACTAGGGACCTACCTGCCCATCATTACATCAGGGTGACATTTATTGGCCCAACAGCAGGTTACATCTGAGGACCTATTTGCCCCGGAGTTACAAGACTGACATTTAGTGACAACAGCTTTGTAAATGCCTCAGTGACAAGAGATTCCGGGTTAGGTTCCCAGCGACCTGTGCTGGCCAAACACAGAGACTAAATGGACTGTGTGGTCATGCTTGGATCCCTAGTTGAATCCATGTCATTGTAACTTGACAATGTGGGATGCTGCTTATGATATCATCGACCAGTGCGTCTGCTTTGCACTCCATTACATACAAGCTGAGGTCAGAAAACAAACAAAAGTATTCCGAGAGTCAGTTTGAAAACCAGTCCTACTGGACAAGTAATGATAAATTCAGTATTATCCATCATGACAATATCATGAAACAAATGTGTTACACAAGTTCATGCAGACTTGTATTCATACATCAATTAATGCTGAAGTAAAGAACTACTTTCTAGCTGACTTTTGACAGGTCACTTGATTACATCTATAAACAGATCATGTCTTAGTTTCCCACTCGAAATGCCAAACAGTATTGTAAGGGATATTTACAAAACCTGAATATTTATCATTTACTCTGATATAAAAAGTTCACATTTAAATGCACACTTGCTTACTATTTCACTGTTTTCTATTTATGGAATTCCAAGAGAGTGAGGGGAAAGGAGACAACAAAAGAGACATTCGTTGATTTTATCAGAGCTTTGGAGTTTTTAAATATTTACAAGAAACAGCAAGTTCACATTGACATGATCCGACCAACATCCGTCTTTCAACCACATCCATCCTCCGACCAACATCCTTCTTTCGACCAACATCCTCCCATTATTAAGTTTCGACACAAAAGTCTATCAGCTATGTTTCAGGCTTGGAGGTATTAGTTACCCTTAAACATGATTAGCCATGAACAAAGGACTGGAGACTTTGACAAGTGTGTCATGAATGAAATGACAGTAAGCCATTATGGTTATCCAGCCCCTCTGAGATGGAAGCAGATGGATATTCAGTTGGTGTTCAGTGATGCAGGTTTGGATCCTAATCCTCATCTAAGCCAAAAAAAGCTTTGCCGCCATCAGTCCTGCCACCTGGCATCACTAAGCAGTATTTACCCACAACACCCCTTTCAAGACATGAAAGAAGAGTTTACAAGAAAATCCCCACTCATCTGTTAAGGAATCATAAAAATGATCAGCTTTGTCGGTGATTACATGTATCTTGCTACATTACCCTGTCTGACAGTGGGGTACTGCTATCTTGCTACATTACCCTGTCTGACAGTGGGGTACTGCTATCTTGCAGTGTGAAACTGGAGGATGAAGTACACAGATAGAGATGACAGTCTAATCATCAGGTTACTCTGCATCAGCTGTCAGGAATCTTGGCTGATAATAATGGCTACAAAATGGGAATATATCGGAAAATACAGTTGTAAACATTCTACCTAAGAGTGAGTGAGTGGGCGTATGAGCATGAGATGTGAGTGAGTGAGTGAGTGAGTGAGTGAGTGAGTGAGTGAGTGAGCAAGCGTGTGTGTGTGTGGTTTGTAACTACGCTTTTAGCAATACTCCAACAATATCATTGCCAGGGACACCAGAAGTGAGTGAGTGAAGGCAAATGACCATTAACACTATAACTAACTTCATTAATTCACTGGCCAAGTTCTAATGTTCTGATGTTGCCTGATTCTGAAATTCCATTTTGATTCCCATTCCTTAAAGTTTCAGAAAGAACATTGCTGTGCGAAATCCCGTACTCTATTTCCCACATCCAGGATCAGACAACTCTATGCATCTGTTCACTCATGTCCATTTCACACTTCAAAGCCTACATATGTGAATGTTCCCAAGTCAGTTACCACATGTCTGTACATGAACAAGAAGGCTTTTTCTGACTAAACCCCAATGGTTTGGCCATTGTGTGTATGGAAAGATGATAAATACCAACAAACATTTGTTAAACACTGATCACTATGATATTTATTGTCACCTCATCAGATTTCACAATGAATTTGAAAATAACTCAATTCAGTCAGAGATATGAAACATACAAGTCTATGCAAGAGAGTAATCATTTCGCCTGCCAAGATGGATTCCATCTGACATGAAAGACAAATTTGTGGTGAAAATTACATAAATTGATCACTAAAAATCAGAAAAGCGCAATCGCCTCCTTTGACTGAACAGACAATTTTATTGCAGCATCACTGTAGAAGCTACTATTTATAGATTTTACATTGAAAATTACTGGTAATACTAGTTTCCCAAAACATCAGGTTACCTCATTATGCCTTCTAATTCTAAATGTTTGGAACAGATATAATTGAATATTCTTCAAGAGTACCTTCCAAACGAGTATTTACGGTATGTACCTGAGCTGTACACTGTGACCTGAAGTTCTACCTGTAATTGAAGTGATTATGTCAGCTCCCATCTGTAGGTAGCATGTATACACCTGCCTCTGTCTGATCTGTGTATTTATACTACACCATGCCCTCAATAGCATGTTGACAGCTGCTTGTCAATAACTAATTATGTGGATTGCTTCCAGAAACAGTCGGCCATATTGATTACAGCTATCATACTGATTACTGTACGACTACTTCATATCCATTTAATCAGCTGGATGTGATTATCATTGCATTTTTAGGTGGTGACATCTCACAACTGATGATAAACACAGGTACTAAACACAGATGGTCCTGTTTACTAATAGATACTATTTGCAAACAACTAATGTTATCAATTGACATCAATTGAATGATTTAAGACATGATATTGAGAAGGTGGGGCCAGATTGTTCAAAGCAGTTGGTACATATAGATGTTCTTTATTACAAGTTAGGTGAAGCTACAGGATACCATTTTCCTACCACAAGAGATGTTAAGGTCAGAGCGTCAGATGAAAACCATCAGTACACATGTGTGATATGGAGATTGGACTCCTGGCCATGCCACATACATGTTACCGTAAACACTCCAAGATAACCACGTAACATAAAGGCTCTGTGATACTCACTTGTTAAAGTAAACACTCACCTAGGCAAGCTATGGATTTTTAACTTTATAGACAAACATTTTAAAACCTTCCAGACTATATAAACATATGTGATATTAAAAGACACTCATGTGAGATTCTTGCATACAGCCAGACCATTTCCCCCAAAACACATTGGCCGGCCTCAGGTTATAGAACACTAACTGGGCCAAGCAGGTGATGGCTGTCCTATAACTACAGCATTGATCTACTTGGACCAGCAACACATGTAGAACAGAAACCAGTCTGTAATGGTTCACCTTGTTTTGTGTTTAGAAAGTCAAACATACAATGTTGTAGGTACCTGCTTCTAACTGACACTGAGTCAGTAAATGCTGCACCCATAATCAGCATTGTTCAAAGATCACACAGGGGTCCAAGTGTCAGCTAAAGCATGATCACTTAATCAATGCTAAAGTGTTAAATATAGCCAGAAGGCTCTGTAGCTCACCTGACTTATGTAGAAAGAATTTTATGAAAATATGAATGTATTACATATATATGTATTTTGGTCCAAACATAGAAAATAACAGAAAAAGTTAAAGTCAAAGAGAATTTCATTTTAGAAAAAGTAAGAAATGTATATATTTTTTTTAAAAAGTATTTTTTTCAAAATTGTTAATGACAATGATGAATAAACATGAATAAGTGTTTATGTGTCCTACTTACTTGGCATCTAAACTCTTGAGTTTCTTCTGATTAGTCACACAAGATTCCTGAAACAGACAAATAAAAACATAACAAGAAATCACATTTACTACTGCTAATGTACTGGCAATGCAATATATATATATATAAACATATCAGCCACTTATAGAGCTAAAAATATCACATACCATATAGGTAATATTTAAGACCCACTGATATTGTGATATACAGCCTGGAACTTTGAATCAACTCTGACATAACAGTTCCATACTTGTACAGTGGTATTACTCATCCATTCAAGCAAGAAACTGGTTACATCTAACACAATATGACACCATGTCATCTGTGTCAAAGATGCCACAGCTTGAATTCAATAGCCTAGCTACATAAAGTGCATGTAAACATGGCTGACAAATAGTGATTGATCCTTAATGGAAAATGCTGACCAAACACTTCTGAAGTCACTGTCAATAAGCTAGGTATACTATGTTTAACATTGAAACAGCAGACCCTCTGTCCTTAAAGTCATGGTATATTACAAATATCACACACCTTATCTTGACAACTGACCACAGCTGCGTGGGAGTGACAAAGGAGCAGCATTACAGTGTACCTGTCTGCCAGGTCACAGTGGTTAGCATAAACATCATAGCACAAACCTCATTCTGATGTATACTGAATAAGGAGTGTATGTTTACAGAAAGAACTGTCATCAAGGAATATAGTTCAATCACTGATTACGCTATCTGTAAGTCATTATAGAGTGATAAAGAAAGGTTGACACCTATTATCAGTATCAGCTATTTGATTGGTGGAGGCATGTCCAACTTATCTGTTAACATTAAAGCGTATCCACGTACTCTGCACCCTTTCATTCATATTTCATGACTGCCTGGATTACAGGACCAGCTTGAAAATTATATTACACCTATAGGTCAGTCTGAAGGGCTCCTTCTTCAGTATAACAGATGTACACACACAATAAAGACTATAACTGTGGGTTAAGTAGGATTTACAAGAGCAGTGGAAACAAATGGTTACTGGTTGCCCCCTTGCTGTGTGACAGCTGAAACTTAACCTACAGCCAAGGTGAGAAGGACAGTGTTGGACGTCACACTTCTATATCATCTGCTTTGTGGAAGAGTCCTCTATGAACAGCCATGATAGAATTGGTCTTCAGCAACCCATTCTTATCCTAAGAGTCCTCTATGAACAGCCATGACAGAATTGGTCTTCAGCAACCCATTCTTATCCTAAGAGTCCTCTATGAACAGCCATGATAGAATTGGTCTTCAGCAACCCATTCTTATCCTAAGAGTCCTCTATGAACAGCCATGATAGAATTGGTCTTCAGCAACCCATTCTTATCCTAAGAGTAGTCTGTCTAACAGTCCCTGAACCATAATAATTTCCCTACCGCCTAGCCCTCCCTTGCAATGCTGAAGCCCTAAATGAAGCAAGTCTAGATTTCCTCAGGTTCTTGAATCTCCCAGCTCGCTGGGTCTCCTTTTCAAATCAATGGGTTTATTTTTTACTATCAAAATTTTATATATTCAGAGACTAAGCGTTAGTCCAATATTCGAAGGTGAATAAATGGAAAGGACCTGACGTTTGCTGACTAGCTTGATGAATGCCATTGTATCCACCTGCATATACTGATGCTCTTGATGTTGAATAACAGTCAATCTATTATATCATGGCATGACAGATTAATGAAGTCACATGACAGAACTGGGTTTCTTAAACTTCTTTTGAGTAGTATATGTATTAAGTGAGTGAGTTTAGTTTTACGCCATACTCAGCAATATTCCAGCTATATGGTCTGTAAATAATCGAGTCTGGACCAGACAATCCAGTGATCAACAACATGAGCATCAATCTGCGCAATTGGGAACCGATGACATGTGTCAACCAAGTCAGTGAGCCTGACCACCCGCTCCCGTTAGTCGCCTCTTACAACAAGCATTGGTTACTGAAGATCAATATTCTAACCCGGATCTTCACGGGTAGTATATGTCTTAACTGCCTCAGCAATATTCCAACCAAAGACTAAATATGAACGTGACATTATGTAGAAGGCAAATCCCTGTCTCTTCACACCATAACTGTTTGCACAGTAAAGTGGACATAATCTCCAGTCGGAGATCAGATGTGAGTACATGATATACCCAACACCACTAGGTGTCAGGGTCAAGCTCAAACACACATTGTATCGCCCAATGGATTTACTCAAGCATTATCTTCGCAGTCCCCATACTGCAATACTGTTCCATTTAAACACCACCTGGTCGAAACATGACTGTGTTCAGACGAAACACTGAAATATGCTGCACTGGTCTTAGTTCACTGTCAAAAAGACAGTGATTAATTAACTGAAGAAGTCCTTACAGCTTTACGGCAGCACCAAAGTGTAACAAGGTGATGATTAAGCATTTTCAATTATGCCTATTTCAATATTTGTCCAAATTGTCAAATTCCACGAAGTGATATGCAAATTGCATGCAAATCAGAGACCATGTACAGTTATAGTCTTATGCAGACCCTAAAACAAACATATTCAATACAGCCCATGCAAAACATAGACAATTATATTACCACAGTTCGGAAAACTATAATACATGGAATATTACCACCTTTTTTTCTGTAAAATATTTCCATTTAAGAGTGTAGATATTTATCTACATATTAGACCTCTGATTGTATATTTCTGGTGACCAACACCGATACTACATAACACTGAAGATGGTGAAATATGCTACTTTCACAGAGACAATTAATAATGACAAACTTACAGCAAGACCTGTGGGATAATAATCCTGTATGTGATATGTGTCTCCATAGAAGCTGTGACCCTTGACCTGACCTTTGACCAGGTCATGTAAGGAAACAGGGATTACAAGTTGACAGATTGTAGAGTAAGGTTGTCACATGTGATGGCCATATGGTGACCAAATGCCAACTGGCGCAGCCTTCATGTTACAAGAAAACATAAAAAAGCGTCCACCCACCTCTCAGCTGAGCAGAATTAACAAGCAATCTCTCCACCATATTAAATGTCTGGAGCATTTATTCCAGCATATATTCTATCTCCTGAGTGAGTGAGGGGTATTTAACACCAGTGTAGTTAGGGCAGTGAAGCTGTCAGATCAACAATCCACCATCTAACCAGAAATAATGAAAGTTGAGATGATGTCATATTCACTGAGCTATCCAGACGTACCAAACATACCAAATGTAGTATATTCGGCTTCAGCTTACATCTCTAACTATTACATCTTAGTACTGATTGTGTACACGTTTCAGCGTATATATATAAATATATATAATGTATTATTGTGCGAAATATGTATTACATGTACTATGTTGCTACTTGGTCCAATGAGGATGTTTAGTACAATAAACTTCTAGTATTCTATGGCCAACAGTTGAAGGAATCTTTCATGGTAGCCAGAATATAGTCAGTCGGGTTCAGTCAAATGAGTGCTTGAAAGTATTAGCAAATTCCATGGTTGATAACTTGCAACCATGTCAAGTGCCACCAATATTGTCATCCATATATACTTGTTCTATCTGACTTCCAACTTCCAAAATGCCACTCAAAGAAGTGCAACCAACGTTGTCTGACTCCCTATCCAATTGACACATCACTTGCAAAGCAGTGAGTACTGTGTGCCAGTTCCTGCTTGTTGGGACACATTACAGGTTCATCCGCAAAGGACATTACATTGATTCATAATCCAGGCATCTGTTAGCCTTGGTAATTTCATTGGGACCAGTAAGTCTGGATTAACAGGGTTTCACTGTACATAACGCAAAACAACAGAGACATATGCCTTGTTGTTATGGCAATAAGATACATCACACTGTACAGAAATCTGTAAAACATTTATCTAGTCCATGCCCATGTTCGACGCAATCCTGATCTCAGAAACAGGTCTTCATACACACCTGTTTGGATAATTTAAAAACTATTTTATGCAGAGGAGTCAAGGCCCCATAAATGATGACACCGAAATCCACCTGTACTTATGAACATGTCTGGGAGATCACCTCGGTGCTGAAGTCTAAGCCTGATTAAAGTCCTTTTTCCCTCACAACTACCTCTGTATGAACATCGTAGTCACTCATCTGCTGCCATAGCCTAATTCCTTATCCTGCATATTCACGGAAGCAGACACAGGAGCTTATTCTAAAAAAGGTGTATTTATCAGTTCAGCCATTAACGCACTTTATCAGACGGCCTTATCCATGGTACACTCTGACGTGCAGGATGAAGAAATAAACTATGTTTAATGCACTGAGAACACTAGGTGCACTCTTCAGTGTGCGTAATGCATGAGGAAATCCGTTATATTTAAAACATATTTACCAAATGTTATAAAATAACAGTGTGGGCAAACATAGGAAGTGGTTTTGAGGTAATTATTTTCTCTACAGGATAATCAAATTCCGGTTCATGCTTCTCTCAATCTGTATTTGATTAGGTTCAAGTTATGATACCATCTATCAGTGCTGCTCACCTAACAACTACACAATACCACTGGGTTGTTCAGAATCTTGCATCCTGGTTTATCTTATGTACCAGGTTAACAAAGACGCAGAGATGGTCCACTTGGATTCATCTATACCAGAGATGGTCCACTTGGATTCATCTATACCAGAGATGGAGTCATCTATACCAGAGATGGTCCACTTGGATTCATCCATACCAGAGATGGCCCACTTGGATTCATCTATACCAGAGATGGTCCACTTGGATTCATCTATACCAGAGATGGTCCACTTGGATTCATTTATACCAGAGATGGTCCATTTGGATTCATCTATACCAGAGATGGTCCACTTGGATTGATCTATACCAGAGATGGTCCACTTGGATTGATCTATACCAGAGATGGTCCACTTGGATTCATTTATACCAGAGATGGTACACTTGGATTCATTTATACCAGAGATGGTCCCATTGGATTCATCTATACCAGAGATGGTCCACTTGGATTCATCTATACCAGAGATGGTCCACTTGGATTCATCTATACCAGAGATGGTCCACTTGGATTCATTTATA